GGCTTGTTTTACAACGTCGTTGCCAAGCGACGAAAACCCAACCCCGATGGCAAACACCCGGGGGGGAGGGAGGGGTGGGGGCAAAACGGGCTCAAGTCTGTCTGTCTGTGACCAGCCTCGATATTACCCAGCAGATCCCAGCCCATTTCACCATCTCGGCACCAAATTGCAATCCAAGACGTGTTCACAGCAAGTAATATTTTGCCCGAGCTGCCCCAACTGCTACCTTTTCAATCCGTGCTCGGTGCGTCGAGATAGTGCAGCCTCGGTACCCAACTTGAAGCAGGGAAGTTTCTGGCCCCTTGCAACACCGAGAGGAGGCGTCGTTTGATTTTGAACCAAGACAGATAGCCTCGTACACCACACACCACTCACACACAGAGCCAGACATGGACAAACAGGGAGAGGGAGACACAGACCACAGCGAGGGCGAGACGGTGGGAGAAGGGTGTGCCATACACTGCTGCTGTTAGCTATCGGCGGAGGAAGCGAGAGGAGAGATCAACATTTGNGGCGAGGGCGAGACGGTGGGAGAAGAGTGTGCCATACACTGCTGCTGTTAGCTATCGGCGGAGGAAGCGAGAGGAGAGATCAACATTTGGTTGCAGCAGCAGCAGCAGCAGCGGCGGCGGCGGCGGCCTCTCTCTCTCTATTTCCGCGGACAGGGGCACATGACACCAACAACACACAGACGCTGCTACGCACCACCATTGGTGCGACATGTACTGCTGTACGCCTCTCTACACTTTTGTGCGCAAAGGCCTAGTGTACGACCAGTGCCTTCCGTGCTAGCCTGGTTACCCATCACAAGCTTGAACGCTTTTGAGATTTCTCGATCAAAGCTCGAACCAACAAGCGAAGCACAACAGCAGAGACATTTTTTATTGCTGCGAGCCCTATTTTTTTAATATGTACCATACCCCTCCCTCCCCCCCGAAGTTCACCTCCCTCCCCCCCCGGTTCGAGTCCGTATGGAGGTGTCTTTTCCAAGACTTTTTTTTCGGAGCCCATCACATTGATTGGCGCCCCCCACACCTCAATCAATATGTTCTAATACTGCTGTGTAGTAAACGGGGCCAATGGTAGCAACGCACGAGCCTACTGCAGGTACGTTTTTCAAAAAACAACTATTCCACCTCCCGATGTAGTATCTTTTTCTGGTGTACCACACAGACGAGTAGAGGGAGAGATGTGCGTGTTCAGCGGGCTGCAAGCCCTCGTGCGTGGCCTATTTTGTTCCTAGTATGCAATAACATCGAAACGCTGTCAAGCGTGCTCCTGCGTTCTGCTTCGTGTGAGTTCCAGGTCATCCACGGCGTGCTCTTGATTTTGCGTTGTGGCGTGTCCTAAAATCTACATTCTTGTAGGCGATTTCCTTCCGAAGGAGCGATAGCCACATTTTATGCGCAACGGGCAGGTCCTTTGCTCCGTTGTTGGGTACGGCGGGTGTGTTAAAACACGCACCGCCACCTAAAGTCAAACGAACGAAAATCCCCAGGAAAATGAAATGGCCATTTGGCGCATAGCGCGACCTATTGACTACTTGTA